ATATATATATGTATATATGTATATATATATATATATATCATAGAGTCTTACCATGTAGCCCTGACCTGGAATTTGAATTTGGTATCTCGACCAGACTGCCCTTGAACTCATAAAAATTCGTCTGTCTCTGCCTTCCGAGTGCTGGGATTAAAGGTGTGTGCCCATCAGACATGCTCTGTACAGCTGGAGAATAGGCATCTGAGGCCTCTGTCCCTTGTGACCTGCGTGAGATTTGAGCTGTCCTGCAGGACTAGTCCAGAGAGCCCCCAGTCTGCAGGCAGTCTGGGGAGGAGGAGAGGACCCCCTGAAAGTGGAGAGCCAAGGGCAAGTTTGTAGAACGAACTGTGATAAACGACAACACCATCCCTTCCCAAACTGGCTCCTTGAACACTGGCTTGGTTTCATTCAGGGTCGGCAGGCACTGGAGGAAAGCCTCGGAGCTGAATGAGTACCCACAGAAAGCAGACTGAAGCATGGCTTCCTTCTGCAGGGACAGCCCCCCTCTAGGGGGTCCTTCTTTTCTTCTCTTCCTAATCATCAGAAAAAGGTATCCCATCCCTCCTAATGCCGGCCTCGCCCCCGTGTGGCAGACCCATGCTCCACTGCCAGCCTCAGTCCCGTGTGGCAGAGCCATGCCCCACTGGTATTCATGGTAGGATTGTGATTCTCACAAATGAGAGCAGCCCGATGCACCCAGGTGAGCTGCTGGCAAGCACTGGCCGGCTTGTTGCATAAGAAACTCATGTATAGGCAATTGCCATTCAGTGGCATAAGTAATGTCTTAATGGCTGATTCCATTGCCTCTGAAACCCCAGAACTGGAAAGTGACCAACACAGTTAGGCGTGGAAGGCCAGCAGGAAGATCTCTCGGGCCACTGCTACAGGCTTAGTGATCTCTGCCTTCACCCACCTCTCCATGACCACGGACCCATAAGACTTGCAAGTCTTAGCAGGGTGGTGGTGGCGCATGCCTTTAATCCCAGCACTTGGGAGGCAGAGGCAGGATCTCTGTGAGTTCGAGGCCAGCCTGGGCTACAGAGTGAGTTCTAGGACAGCCAGAGCTACACAGAGAAACCCTGTCTTGAAAAGCAAAACAAAACAAACAAAAATCCAGAAACACTTAAGGATGTAGCTTAATCTGTAGAGTCTTTGTCTAGCATGAGTGAATCAGGAGTGGTGGTGTCTGTCTGTGATCCCATTCCTTGGGAGGTGAGGCAGGAGGATCAGAAGTTCAAGGTCACTCTCAGCTGCACAGCAAGTCTGAAACCAGATGGACAACAAGAGGCCATTTTTACAGGAATGGCTTGCTAGAGACTGGTTCGTTTGCTGTGTTCGTCTCCATTCTCCCGTGGGTGTTACAGGGGCAAGACGACCTCATGAGAAGACAGGAGGCATGTTGCCAGCAGGTGGATGTTTTAGTTTTTGGAGGCATCACCAAGTGTGGCCCACGGGAAGGCTGGGGTAAACATCGGCTGTCACTTGGGCCTGGGAGAAGCACATTCTTGGGGTGTTGGGGCCGACAGAGTAAAACCTCCCAGAACACACTCACCGTGTAGCAACCTGTCCATTTAGACGCCAGGAAAGGAAGGACAAAGTTTATTGCTGTTGAGAAGAAGCTTTCCTCTGCTGTCACAGCACACCTGGCTAGCCCAGGTAAACACTGCTCCTCCAGGAACGAATGGCCTTCCCCTCTGGGACCCAGGACCACGGGGGTGAAGGTGCGGGGTGGGGACTTCCAGATGCCGTGGACTTAGGTACGCCACAAGACCAGGTTGGCTGGAGGAACGTCGAAAAGCTTGCGGGTGTGGTCAGTCTCCCTGCGGTACAGGTAGCCACAGGTGGGTTTCTGCAAGGTGTAGAAAGGGTTCAGAGAGTTGGAGTACTGAGAGGTGTAGAAATTGAACCTGATGTTATCTGGGTTGTGCCCCCGAGGATCCACCACTACTGGTACAAAGGCGGCCACCAGGGACTGCTCTCGGTCTCGTCTCCATGTCTGTGACAGCGGGGGTGGCAGCGGTGACGGCGGCGTCTTCACCTTTTTGTCTGATGGCATCTTTTGCCCATGGCTGGGGGTTGAGGATTTTTGTGAGTCCTAAGAGGAGAAAATAAAGGAGAAAGTTGCCAGGTCTGAAAGCTGGGGAAATCGGACGTTGATTTGGTTTGCTAAAGCCAGGGCCGGAAGGAAAATGTGCCCCTTGCAGTGACCACAGAGCCCCCCTGGAATGCAGTTCTACTGGCCAAGATTCTAGAACAGGGAAAAGAACCCTGGAACAGATGGAACTTCCCTGCTCCTGCGGACTTCTGCCAGAAGGCGGGGAACCTGGATGCTGCCTTCAATGCCTCTCCTCCCTACAGCCAATCACCCCTCCTCCCCAGGGCCATTGGAGCAGTGCTCCCCACTCCTGACACTCTACCAGGCCTTCATCCTCTTCCTCCTGAAGGATCACCCTCTTCCACCTCTTGTCTTTCCCACTCACTCCAGAAGGTACTTTCTGTATTAATAGCTAAATAATCCAGAAGTTCTCAAAGCACCTTTCATGTCTACTACCTGGAAAATAAATCCTGAAGCTTTGAGCCTAGAATGCAAGATGTTTGACGGAGATGTGGCGCCATCTCCCCACCTTCCACCGTCCCTCTACCCGCCGTGTGTCGTGCCACGGTGGACTGTCACCCAGACCACACTTCATCCTTCCAGACCCTCCGGATCGTTAGAGAATCCCCTCCGCGCAGGCCGGCCCAAGCTGTCTTGCTCACTGTCTGTAGGCAGACCCCTTACCCGTGACATAGAAGCCTCGAAAATCCTGTTTCTTTGCTCCAGACCAAAGCATTTAGAGAGTGCTCAGTAAATGCGCTTCCCCTCAACTGAATTCCAGTATAGGGCAGTCCAGCTTCCAAGCCGCTGGCCCAGTTCTGTTTTAGAACCTCTCATTGTTACCAAAGGTGTGTCCTTTCTACCTCGGCCCACCTCCCCTCAACCTCTGCCCTTGACTGATTGGGGTCTGCCCACTTCTACAAGTCCCCCATTGTCACATTGGTCACACGTACTGACAATGTTTACCCTCTGCTGTCTATCACCCTTCTTGACTCTCTATGATGGAACTGCTTTGCTCCTTGAAGCCCCCCAATATCTTCCAGGGGCCAAGTGTCCATTTTATTTACTTAAGTGTTTATGGGTTTGGTTTGGTTTTTGCTTTCTGAATTGAGTTCTCTTGTAGCCCAGGCTGACTTCAAACTCAGTGGGGTAGCCCAAAGGTAGCCTTGAATTCCTCATCCCCCTATTTCTACCTCCTAAGACCCTTTTTTCTTACAGACTTACAGAGTCAAAACAATCCAAAGCCTAGGCTGCCTGCAGGTGACCATCCACCAGAGTGCATCAGGGTACTTGAGTTCTGTTCCCGGGGCTTCCACTACCAACTATTTTCTCTCTGCCCAGCCTCAGGGCTCAGAAAAGCCCTGATGATGTAGTTAGGGAAGGTAGAGTCCTCCTACAGAAGCCCCTGGCTCAAGTCAGGATAGAACTTTGCTTCTGATTTACAAACTACTTTCCCAGGCAACACATGACTGTACAAGGCCCCCATTTCTCCTTTTTGAAATTCTCCCCATCTTCCCCGGGCAGGCAGCTCTGTCTACTGCCTTCCTCTCCATGGAATGTTGTCCCAAGTCTGCCACAGCCTGCACCCCAAAGATGAGCACCACACCCAATCTTGGGCAGACCCCCATTACCTCACTTAACCTTGTCTTCCACAGTCTTTAGAGGAAGGATATTTTCTTTCATGTTCTTGAGTTTGACCAGAGAGAGGATCTCTGGACCCCCTCTAGCCTATCTGTGGTGGAATATGTTGGGAACTGCATGCTGGCAATGGGATCAGAGGCAGAAACGGCCTACAGAAATAATCCTTGTTCTTACGTGACTATGGGTGAGGACCAGCCAGCCCACCATGAGAAGGTGACAAGTCGTCCCCTGCTGAGGTAAGGCACTCACCAAACCACCTACATAACCCCCCCCCAGTCAGTCTCTCAGCAAGATGAAATTTGGACATGAGTCCTCTGTCTCCTCTACATGAATAGAATCACAGTCTGTCCCTCAGCATCTTGTCTCATGACTTAACTCTCCTGCTGCATGGTGAGCAGCTGGACCTGGATCTGCTCACATTCCCGAGATGTTGTCCTTTTCCAGGAGGGACTAAGGTAGGTACATACTTTTTTAAAAGTTGTAAACTAGGCCTGGAGGAATGGCTCAATGGTTAAGAGCACCTGCTGCTCTTCCAGAGGATCCAAGTTCTGCTTCCAGCAGCTCGCAACCGTCTGTAACTCCAGCTCCAGAGGATTCTACGGCACCCTCTCCTGGCCTCCACAGGCACCTTCATATACATGCACACACACGCGTGTGCGCACACACACACACACACACACACGTGTACACATGTGCACACACACGCACACACAATACACATAATAAAACTGAGTATTTGACAACAAAAGGAAGCTGTAAGCCTGGCCCAGGGGCCGCACTAATCTTAGCACTTGGCAGATGGAGACAGGAAGGTGAGGCGCTCAATCACCCTTGCCGCAGCTAAACAGTGAGTCTAAAGCCCCAGGATACATGAGACTCTTCCTCCAAAAACAAAACCAAGCCTTTAACCCAGCACTCGGGAGGCAGAGGCAGGTGGATCTCTGTGAGTTCAAGGCCAGCCTAGTCTACAGAGCAAGATCCAAGACAGGCACCAAAGCTACACAGAGAAACCTGTCTCAAACAAAAACAAAAACAAAAAACAAAACCCAAGAGAAGTCATCACCCTGAGACTTCTGGACAGTTCGGGAGACTGCCGCCAGGGCTGACAGAGGCAAATGCTTCAGAACGTGTGGGGAGCTGACAAAGACCCCACAGTAGGAAGGATAAGGCATTTTGTGACAGACTCCAGCATCTGCTGTGGTGGTTGGAACGAGAACGGCCCCCACGGGCTCATAGGTTTGAGTGCTTGGTCCCCAGTTGGCGGAACTGTCTGGGAAGAATCAGGAGGTGTGGCCTTGCTGGAGGAGGTGTGTCACCATTCTAGTTGGCTCTCCTGTTGCCTCACGGTTGTCTTAACAGGGAAGCTCGCAGCCACTGCTCCAGCGTCATGCCTGCCTGCTGTTGCCAGGCTTACCACCATGATGGTTATGGACTCTAACCCCCAACGCAGTAAGCCCAATAAACTCTTCCTTCTCTGTTTCCTTGTCATAGAGTCTCTTCACAGCAGTAGAAAAGTAACCTAGACACCTACCAAGTACCAGGCATTCGCCACTCAAATGTCAGTCACCTATGCCAAAGCTCCTAAGAGACAAGTGAGATGTTAACCCCATTTTTCTAATGCTGAAGCAGAGGCTCATGGGTATCTACACTATCATCAGTTGGCACTCACACAGTTTGTGACAAAGCACAGAATGCTTTTCAGAATTCTCACAACTGACTTACACAACAGCCAGAATTCCAACACAGCCTTCACTCTTTGCCTCAGCTCAGGGCCTGGGCCCACCTGCTCTGGGCCCACCTGCTCTGGGTCCTCCTGCTCTGGGCCCACCTGCTCTGGGCCCACCTGCTCTGGTCCCCCTCCTGCTCTGGTCCCCCACCTGCTCTGGGTCCTCCTGCTCTGAGCCCACCTGCTCTGGCCTCACCTGCTCTGGCCTCACCTGCTCTGGGCCCACCTGCTCTAGTCCCCCACCTGCTCTGGGCCCACCTGCTCTGGTCCCCCACCTGCTCTGGCCTCACCTGCTCTGGGCCCACTTGCTCTGGGCCCACCTGCTCTGGTCCCCCACCTGCTCTGGCCTCACCTGCTCTGGTCCCCCACCTGCTCTGGGCTCACCT